CCCCAAAACCCCAAAACCCCAAAACCCCAAAACCCCAGAATATTTTTATAATTGAAATATTTTCAGAACAATATTAAAATGTGGTCGATGAAATTACAAGGAAGTCAGAATGTGTATGGCTCCATTTCAACAATGATAAACTCGAGACAGAGGCGGAATAAAGCTCTTGAAAAAAGAAACCACACTAATGACTCAGCAAAGACAATAAAAAATCGGAGAATAATGAAAGATGCTCATAAATAACCTCTGAAATAAAATAATTTGAATGACTGAAAGGAGCAAAGCCGATACTAAGTTGCCTCCAGTGGAAAGGTTTACGACAACTATTTTTTCAGATGAGGATTCTAAAAGCGATATAGCAGATCTAGATGAAAGCTTAGATGAATTCAAGGTGGAGCCCCAGCAACCTCTATCAAAATTCAACAGGTGCTCCGATAATGTTAATAATATAGATTTGCATCTGTAGAAATTTTGCCAAATTTAGAGAACAAAATTGTCGAATCCTCACCTTTGACGAAAGAAAAAGTTTGGCCTAATTGTGATAAATATCAAGAGATTTTTGGATCCAATTTGAAAAATACCACTAAATTCTTAAAAAAGGGGCTTAAATAAGCCTCAAGGTAAGAAAGAAGAGGTATGGCCAGTCTATAAGCCGAAGAGGAAAAAATTAGCACAAACTACGAAATTGCTAGCACCAGTTCAATCCAAGAGATTTGTGATTCCAAAATCTCCTCAGATCAATCTTGATGGAGTCAGCAGCAAATTTTATAAAGATGTTGAACACAAGGATGAGAAGAAAGAAAGAGTGCAAAGACTTATGAAGAAATGGAAGAATATTGTAATCCGGATAAAACACGCGATTAAATTAATCAAACATGCAAGAGGTGATTGCTCCATTAGTTTTACCAAGGATGTCATGAAAGATAAATTTTTCACTTTCTGAGAAAAAGTTTTACAAAAGATTGAAAAAGGGTTCCAAGATGGAGATATGGAGTTTATGCATCAAAATATCATTAAGATAGTTGGAGCATGACTTAAAGTACCTGATGCCACTATTATCAAAAGTTGTTATTATGCATTAGCATGCTATGCTGACCATTACAAGGAATATAAGATGGCCCTCTTTGCATATGGAAAACTCAGAAGTGCTGCTGAAGGAGTTCTTGATTATAAAATGATGTATAAGTCCTTCATTAAAAGAGCATCTATATATGTCAAGCTAAAGGAATACAAGTACTCTCTTAGGATGTTCAAGCTGATCTTGAAATACGCATGGATGGAGAAGAACATTGAATGGGAGTTTGAAGCCTATAAAGGCATGGCTATCTGCTATTACTACCAAGGCCTTCTAGAAAAATAGCAATTTTTACTACAAGAGGTACATCAGAGGGAAAAATGAGCCTATTGATTCGAATCTAAGAATATATGCGCTAAAAAGATACACTAATGAGTACAGAATGGACCAGGTAAATTTGAGAAAAGACAGGACTGAATATTCAAATAATCTTGTACACAAGATTAGAGACTCCACGATTGATTATTCTTTTGCATGAGATTTTATTGAGGGAGTTCAGAACTCTCAAATTTCAAAGCGGTCGGTCTATATGAAACTGGAGACACCTGTTGAGACTCTGAGAGATAAGGACCTGCCATCTCCAAGTATAGGCAATAACAACAAAGGAAACCTCTTTGTCAGAATGAGGAAAGCTAAATAAGATCTTAAGTAATATGAAGGGTGAACAAGGAATCATTCGAGGTAAAAGAAAAAAAAAGGAAAAAGAAGACTGCATATCTGGATCTGATTCTGGTTCTTGTTCAGAGAGTAGTGAGTTACCTCTATCTGAAGTTGAAAAGTTGATAGATGGAAAGAGTGGCGAGAAGAGCAAAAATATCCTTCTTTTTGATGATGAAGAAGATAGTGATGAGATAGCAGGTAAACTACTAAATAACATTTCTTTCATAAGAAAGCGTTAGATTTTCCAAAACTAGATGCTAGCTTAGCTAATCTAAGATATAATGTAAAGCTTTCTTTTTGTCTTAAGCATATACTTAGTTACCAAACTCAAGGCTTCAAAGGCTTATTACAATAAGAGCAAATAAGAGAAATCCAATGTCGATAGATTATCTCAAGATGCAACAAAACGAGAGAGAAGATCATAACAAAATAATAAAGATGCGGATGGCTGCTTTTGAAAATAGGTTTTCTCCTTTCAGCGTGGCAAGTAACCACAAGGATAGTGGCAAGAGCAAGACTAACATTATTCTCAGTCATCTTGGCCAGATAGACTTTGATAACCCTATTGGTAGAAATGACCGAAAGAAAGCCGAAAGGATCCTCAAACATCTCAGAAACTACATTCAAGGACAAATTGAGAAAAGCTTTATCATCAAGGAGGATCGGATCAGGGAGATCACACAAACAAGTACATTGTACTACTTTTCATTATAGTGATTTGCAAATGTTATTTTTAGAGTTCAACAAGATCTTTGAACTCAGGGGTTTTGGGGTTTTGGGGTTTTGGGGTTTTGGGGTTTTGGGG